CATAAAACTGAAGTCAGGTCTGTTGGTAATTAGAAAAGCCCATTGTACCAGTAATGCATTTAAAGATTGCTCAGAGCACAGTGGCAGATGCATGAAATTCATTTCCATAGTATGTTGGAATAAGATATTTTTCCCTTCCATTTGTATTTTGATTCAGGAAGGATTTAGATTGCATGAGGTGATTTAGCCTATTTGGCTATGGTGAACTCCATCAATAGATTATACATTTTACAAAATATATTCCTGCCAAGAGTTTAGAGCATTCCCACTTCTTTCATGAGTCTGGACATCTGAATCACTGACTTGATTAACTAAGTACACTGAAGATTTCAAATGTTTGCTAATAACCTCAGGTTTCTGTAGTGTGCCAAGTACTCTTTGAGGTCCTGATTCACTGTGTGGCTCATTCTCAAATTTTCTTAAAATACCTTATGATGTAAGAGGAAATTCTTAGCCAAAATAAAGCCCTGAATTAGCTTCTATGAAAAGAAAATGACAAAGAAACCTATATATTCCCAATAATAATAATAATAATAATAATTAGAATTTATATACTACTTTAAGGTTTACAAAGTACTTTACAAATATTATATCCTTTGGTACAACACCCTGTAAATTCAGGGCTTTTACGTTTTATAAAAGAGAAACTTAGGTAGACAAGAGTTAGGTGACTTGCCCAGGGTCACACAGCTAGTATGTGTCTGAGGCTGTATTTGAACTTAGTATTCCAAGTTAACTGCTTCAGGCAGAATAAGGTAGCTCAAAGTACAAAATAGCTTCCTCCAGATAAGAATCTGTCTTTTATCATTCTACTAAACTATGGAGTATTGTAACATTCTTTTGTCCTCATTGGAATATTTCACCTCCTTTCCATTTATCATACCCTTCTAGATACATATAAAGGTCAAAAGGACCTTAGAAGTCATCTTGTTATGGCAGCTAAGTGGTGCAGTGTATAGAACACCAGCCCTGGAGTCAGGAGGACCTGAATTCAAATCCAACCTCAGACACATAATACTTACTATCTGTGTGACTCTGGGCAAATCACTTAACCCCAATTGCCTCCCCCTGAAAAAAAGGTCATCTAGTCTACTCCTTATTTTGCAAATGAAGAAACTGAGGCCCAGAGTCATAAAGTGATGTACCTAAGGTGCCATAAGTAATAAATGGCAGAGCTATGTTTCAAAACCAGGTCCTTGGACTCTAAATTGAATCCTCTTTCATCTTCATCATCTGGCTCAAATACTATATATCTAGTCTCTTCCATCCAATTTTTTGTGATTACATCAGCTTTAAGTGATCTCTTTTCTACTTTCTTCCTATACCCTATCTCTGAACTTATTTAGTACTTATTGCCCACACCCCTCACTTACCATTCTGTATATGCTTTGTTATATTTCTGTGCACATATCCTGTCTTTCTTGAGAGGTTGGAGTATATCTTATTGCAGTGTTTTTGCCCGTTTTTGCCCAAAAGTTGTAGCCATACAGTAAATACAAGTTATTGATGATGCAGATGAATAATCAGAGCTGAATAGGAAGATGCATTTGGCTGGTTCAAATTCATGAAATTTTATAAAATATGGAGGATCACTTTAAAGTTTGGAAAGTACATTATAAATATGTAATTTAATTCTCTTAACAGCCCTGGGAGGTGAATGCTATTGTTATCTTCAGTTTATGGACAATAAACCTGAGGCAAGATATAAATTGTTACTTCCCTAGAACCCTACAGCTAGGAAGAGAGGTCTTTCTGACTCAAGGTCTATATCTCTTTCTACTGTGGCTACTTCTTGGTATTTGGGCAGGTGTGGGACAACCTTTGCATTTACAAAAAAAAAAATGGATTTGCTTCATGAAGCTAACTGACCTCCTATATTCAGACAACAATCTCTCAGCTAATTCATAATGATCAAGAATTTATTGATGTATGTATTTTCTATGTTGTTCCAAATGTCCTCTTGCCACCTGACTCAATAGTTTTAGGAAAAGGTCTGGCTTTTTTTTTCCCCTTTGTGTCTTAATCTTTGAATCACCTTCAAACTCCTCTCAAGTATCTGTTGCTTTTCATGGCAGTGGAGTTAGAGAAAGGCCAAGAAAGTTAGAGGACATATATATATATATTACCAACAAAGTCCAACAACAAGAGATAGAGAAATTCCATTTAAAGTTACCGTAGACGACATAAAATATTTAAGGGTCTACCTACCGAAACAAACCCAGGAACTATGTGAACAAAGTTACAAAACACTTTTCACACAAATAAAGTCAGATCTAAATAACTGGAAAAACATCAGTTGCTCATGGGTAGGCCAAGCTAATATAATAAAAATGGCAATCCTAGCTAAATTAATTTAATTATTCAGTGCCATACCAATCAAACTACCAAAATTGTTTTATGTAGAGCTAGAAAAAATAATAAGATTCATCTGGAAGAACAAAAGGTCCAGAATATCAGAGAAACTAATGAAAAGACTAATAATGCTAAGGAAGTTGGCCTAGCCACATCAGATCTTAAATTGTGTTATGAAGCAGCAATCATCAAAACTACTTGGTACTGGCTGAGAAATAGAGTGGTGGATCAGTGGAGTAGGTTAGGTACACACAAGACACAGTAATCAATGACTACAGTAATCTACTGTTTGATAAACCCAAAGACCTCAGCTTCTGGGATGAGAACTCACTATTTGACAAAAACTATTATGAAAACTGGAAAAGAATATGGCAGAAACTAGGCATAGACCAAAATCTCACACCATATACCAAAATAAAGTCAAAATGGGTACATGATTTATATAAAAAGGCTTATAAGCAAACTGGGAGAGCAAGAAATAGTTTATCTGTTAGATTTATGGAGAACAGAAAAATTTATGACCAAACAAGAGATAGAGAACATTATGAAATGAAAAATGGATAATTTTTATTACATTAAATTGAAAAGTTTTTGCACAAACAAAGGGCAGTACAACCAAGATTAGGAGGGAAGCAGAAAACTAGGAAAGAATTTTTACAACTGTTGTCTCTGATGAGAGCCTCATTTCTAAAATATATAGAGAACTGAGTCACATTAATAAGAAATACAAGTCATTCCCTAATTAATAAATGGTTAAAAGATAAGAACAGGCAGTTTTCAGATGAAGTAAAGCTATCTATAGTCATATGAAAAAATACTCTAAATCACCATTGATTGGAGAAATGCAAATCAAAACAACTCTGAGGTACCACATCACACCTATCAGATTGGCTAACATGACAAAACGGGAAAGTGATAAATGCTAGAGGAGATGTGGGAAAACTGGAACACTAATGCATTGTTGGTGGAGTTGTAAACTGATCCAATCATTCTAGAGAGCAATGTGTAACTGTGTCCAAAGGGCTGTAAAACTGTACATACTCTTTGACCCAGCAATAGTACTTCTAGGGCTGTATCCCAAAGAGATCATAAAAATGGGAAAAGGACTCACATGTACAAAAATATTTATAACAGCTCTTTCTGGGGTGACCAAGAATTGGAAATTGAGGAGATGCCCATCAATTAGGGAATGGCTGAACAAGTTGTGGTATATGGATGTAATGGAATACTATTGTGCTATAAGAAATGATGAGTATGGGAACTTCAGAGAAACCTAGAAATAGTTGACTGATGCTGAGTGAAATGAGAAGAACCAGGAGAACATTGTACACAGCAACAGCCACATTGTGCGATGGCTAACTTTGATAGACTTAGCTCTTCTCAGCAATGTAAGGATCAAAGACATCTCCAAAAGTCTCATGATAGAAAATGCTATCTGCATCCAGAAAAAGAACTATAGAGTTGGAATGCAGATTGAAGCATACTATTTGCTTTTTTTTCCCCCTTCTGTTGTGTTTTGTTTCTTCTTTCTTGTGGTTCCTCCTGTTGGTTCTAATTCTTCTTTACAACATGACTAATGTGAAAATGTGTTCAATAGGAATGTATATGTAGAACCTGTATCAGATTACATACCATCTTGGGGAGAGAGTTAGGGACAGAAGGGGAGAAGATTTAAAATTCAGAAGCTAATGGAAGTGAATGTTGAAAACTAAAAATAAATCTATAAAATTAAAAAAAGAAGAAAGGACAGAAAAGGATGAGGGAAGCAGAAGAAGAGGAGTGTGCAGGAAGGGAAGTTCAGAGTATATGTTGGTTGGGAGGGTTATTCAGACTGGATATATGTGCAGAAAATTAAAATTTCATAGAATCTCATTTGGAACAAACCTCAGAGCTCATTTAGTTAGCTATCACTTTACATATGAGAAAGCCAAGACCCAGAGAGATGGAGTGTTATACTGAAGGCTGATAAGGTATGTTAGTGGCAGTACCAGGACCAGAGGTCAGGGCACTTAAGTCCTAGTATAATGCTATTTCTGCTTTACGACATTCCCTGCTTACAGAACTCCAAAGAAGAAATGGGGCTCTGTTTATCTCATTATAAGCATTATATTCATAGCCTGAATATACTCATTTGAATATATGTATATTCAGATGCATACATACATATATGTAGTACATATATACATACATAGATACATATATGTATATATTTATAGGAGAAGTATATGCTAAGTAAGAAAACACTTTTCCTTCATATCGTATCATAAAAATTTAACAAGCATCAAAATTTTCCGGTTCCTAGTAAGAATTCAGGAAGATTTATAGCACAGTCTTAAAAGAAATTGGTTATGCCTTCAACACACTGCCATAAGGTACCTGATGACAACAACCTTGGTGCCTGCTTATGTAATACCTCCTACTCTGGAAGCTTCAGGTACTTCAGCCATTTGTTTGAGGTCACCATGGAACCACAAGGCAGTTGTAGTAGCTGAAGTTTTAGTTTCACAGCCAGCTACTACTCAGTTTTCTCAGTCTATTCTAGGCAGAAACTAGAACATATAAAGCTTCTTGAAGTTAAACAACACTCTCTGTTGAAAGAACCTGTCTGTTGGCCATATTTTAGTCTGCAAGATTCCCTTTGTACTCACTGTTGTGTTTGAAGGTCCTTATCGTTGCCTTTGAAAGTCTGGCTCCAAGAATAATAGAGGTGTGATTTAATTCATCACTTAAAATCAGGCAACCCTGTGAGGAAAGGGAAAACAGGTATGTAATCAGCATGATATTATAAGACAGGATCAAAATCACAAAGATTTGTATTTGGGAAGGGCTTCAGAAGCCCACGTAGTCTAATCCATGCCTGAACAAGAGCCCTCTATCATTCATCTTTTGCTTGAACACCTTCAGTGAGGGGAAAACATTACTGACAAAGGGCGCCAAATCCATTGGCTCATAGACCATTAAAGTGGGAAGAGGCCTTATAGATCCTTCAGGTCAGCCTTCTTATTTTGTTGTTGATAAGGTAACCAAGGCACAGAGAGGTTAAGTTACTTGCCTCAGGACACACAGCTAGTGAGTAGCAGAGTTGGTCCTCGAACCTTGGTCTTCTAAATTTAAGTCCAGTAAGATCACGTCAGGTCTCAAATTAGTCCATCATTATAAAGACCACCAACTGACTTGCATGTCTTTTTGAGTAAGATTCTGAATACAGATAATCATAAAATGAGCTGATTTGTTTAGATTTTCAAGTATATGAATGATGATTGTGACACACTCTAGAATTCTCCTGATTTATGGTGTAAAGGCAGTGATCTCAGTAAGCAGCAGCTTTAAGCTGCAGCATGAAGAGTTAGACAAATTTAGAGCTATTAAATTACATTGCATTATCTGAGAAGGTCATAGTGTCGCTTTCTCTGGAGATTTTTCATACTAGGCTAGAATCTTTGGAATATTTTAAGGGGCAGACTATGCCTTCAGATAATGGGAAGATAACTTTCAGGTCTTATGATTCTGTGATTACTAATAATATGAAAACACTATATACCTTTAGTGAAAGTTATATATCCTTTTGTTTTATTTGGGAAATTTGGAAAAATTGAAAGAAAGAACACAGTTCACCCTTTGTCTCTGCCAAGAATAGTTGGTCTTGGACCACAGTATTTGGCAAGAGTATCTGGAGAAGTTCTGTCTTTTCTGAAATATCCTTCATCTACTTTTTTGAGGATGCTCATTTACTCATAGGGCACTTTAGAATTTTTTTTTTCCTTGTGCTCTACTTACTCTGTGTTTCTCTGAACCATATGCCAATGAAACTTGATTACCTGAAGTACAGTTTTGCAGCATTTCACAAAGTCTTTAGCATGGCTAGAGTAAGGAGTGAGTAGTTGCTGAGATGTACGTATTTTTTGATGACAGAAAATTTTGTTTTCTGCATCATGGTATTTATTTTGTGATGTCCAGTTGTTTGTTTTACAGTGAAACCCTAAAGCCTCCGGTGGACAGTAACACAAGGAGTACAATTTAAAAGCCTTTTCTAGGGATCTCAGATGCCTTGCCCAGTTCTAATCTCAAATGCATCCTTAACTCTTGCAGAATATTCTTGGTAGTTATCAGTGTTAACACACTGATTAACACAGTGTTAACAGATAAACATCTACGTTTTAAGATAAAGTATCACTTTCAGGTGAAGCTTTGGAATATGGCAAAGCTTTGTCAGTCTATCCCCAGTTAAGAGGGATAGGCCGATTTTCTGGCTGCAGTTAATATTTTGTAGATGATTGCTTACAAAATTACTTTTCTTCTTTTTAAGATTAAAATTTATTTTTCCAATTAATAAGCATTTATTTCAGCTCCTTTTTGCTTCACCCATTGAGAAAGAAAAACAAAATAAAACAAAATCTTTGTGATAAATACACAAAGTAAAGCAAAATAAATTCCACAATGACCATATGTATCCAAAAATATATCCCTTGTTTGGCAATTTGGTGGTGGGTAATAATCTTTATTATTGGTCCTTTGGAATTGTGGTTGGTCATTGCACTGATGACAGTTCTTACATCTTTCAGAGTTGATGTTTTCTTTTAAAGTGTTTTTGAAATTGTATAAACTATTCTTCTGGTTCTGGTCACTTCACTTTGCATTTTCCTGGTTTCTTGGAAATCATCTCTGTCATTATTTCTTATGAGTCGGTAATATTCCGTTAAACTCATCTGCTGTATTTTATACTATTCCCCAATTCATGGACACCCCCTTCGTTTCCAGTTCTTGGCCACCACTTTTCAAAGTCTTGCTTAACTAGTCAATTTACACAGTGTGCTGTAGGTTCAGAGGCATGGCCTTGTTATTGCTGATTTATTACTCATATAGAGGGCCAACAGTTTTGTACTCCGGTAAACTGGAACTCCAAAGGAATCACATTGAAGACCAGTTAACATTTACTAAAGAAGTATATGGGCCAACTTTCCCCACAGAATGGAAATCACATTAATACAACTAAAAGTGGTAAAAGCTATAATTCTTTAAAATAACAATGCATGGATACCTTAAAATAATTCTTACCTTTCCAACCAGTGCTGGAATATTCATTGAGTTGGTAGCAAAACCCATTCCAAACACCATAGCTGCTTCTACTCCCAGAAACTGGGCTACCAGTTCCTCCAACTCTTCATGTTTATCAGTGTTACCTGGAGGAAGAAGAATAAAATATATCACATTTTTAATTTGAAAGAATACATAATCTGTTCCTAGAAACCTATATGAATTAAAGGACATTAATATTTCTCCACATCTGAATATCAGCTTTGTAATGTGCATTTTGGATTCCAAGAAAATAGTACATCTGCTGTCTAAATCCTTTAACGTAGCTGCTTTATGGTTTACTTAGAGGCAACTGAGAATGGTTAATCATTGTTTCTCGTTATTTTGCTCTATCTTAAATTTTTGACTTGGAGTCCAAAGGAGTGAAATAATCAGATTATAGGTATGTAGATAAAGAAGGTACAAAAATATATAGTTATATGTATGTAGATAAGTACTAATGGATAAATATTATATATAGGATAGAGTGTCAAAGTAGGTCAGAATACTACTATTAGTGTATGTTATTATGTTAATGTATTTTTTTGTGTTGTGATAAATTACATTCAACTTAGAAGAACAGTTCTAGTAGAATACCCTAGGAATCTGTTTTTGATTATTTGCTGTTTAATATATTTTATCAATAATTGCATAAAGGTGGATATGATATGTTCATCTATTATGCAGATAACACAAATCTAGGAGGGACAGCTAAAAGCTATCCACTGAAATAGAGTAAATCTAAGCTTCTTGATATGACAACTCTGTTTCTTGAAAATAGCTGTCAAGTTCCCAAATTCTTTTCTTCTTAAGGCTAAACATAAGATTGCTGACTCATAGATTAAGTACTGGAAAGACCCTACAAGATCACTTTCCTCAGTCCCTTCATTCTAGTCTCATGTGTCATGAGTTCAAGCCATTTCACTGTTCTTATTGCTGTCCTCTGGGTGCATTCTAGCTTATCACATCCTTCCTTAAACATTCTGCCCAAAAAGACATGACGCCACCTTTGTTTATGAAGTTCTCTTGATAGTGATCAGTGAGATTAGGACATGCAACCACTACCAGAGGCGAAAAAAATCTCAACAATTGAGGTCACTTGCTTTTGGTACCATTGCCTCACTTGGATCATCAGAGAAATTTGTTATCTCAGAAGTTTGTTCCCCAGTGACACAATATAGTATGGTATATAAATGCAATTATGACAGTGTTATTGCAAAACCATCCCATGTGTCCAGGTTCTTATGGGGGGCAAAAGTCTAGGAAGAGAAGAAAATGCTGGAGGATTAATCACATCCTTAAAAAGTAGGAAGAAATCCCTTCATCTCTATCAATAAGCTGTCATCAGAATTGGATGCTGCGCTATAATACTCAGAGGCTGTTTTGAGACGTGCATAGTAGAGAAGTGAAGCAAATCTTCTGAAAGTTTCAGGGATGGGGGCTTGACCTGTAATTTCATTGGTGTAGGGAACTCCTATGTAAGGAAACTCCCTCTACCGTTTCCTGTAGAACCTTTGCAATTTTGTATTGGAGAGCTGTCTAGAGCATTACAAGATTCAGTAACTTGCTCAGAATCACACAGTCAGTATGTGTCAGACGGAGGACTTGAACCCAGGTCTTCATGGCTTTGAGACCAGCTGTCAATCGACTGTGATATGTTGCCTCTTAGTGATTTAAACAAGATATAATTATTTGCCTCAGTTGGTTGTTTCACTTTTTTCATGAGTATTTGCTTCTGTTGTACCACAGTCATTGTGACTATCTCTACCATACTTGGTTTATATCTCTTTACATCATCAAATATGGTGGCATGTTGCCAGTCATTCAAATTGACCAAACTTGCAGCCATGCTGCCCCAAAAATAAAAATCCACATGGCCTAAAACCAGGTGTCTCTGTTGATGGTTGAATGAGATTAGGTTATAAATTTCTCTGATTCTATTAGAGTTATGAGGCAAAGACTTTTTGTAGTCTCTTTGCTTAAGTGTGATCACACCTAGAAGACCTAATTAACTTTTTTACCCCTAATTCAGATAGGCTGAGGTTATTTAAACATGGTATTAATATCTGCTAGTACATTTTAATTCATGGACAGCAATATAAGCACTGGCATGCCATGCTGTGAACAGCATTGATAACAAATTTTTAGAGCAACACAATATAGCCTTATGGTATTTTGTGTGTTTATAGTGGATTTGTTTAAAGCCTCAGTGTATAATTTACTTTATGATAATTTAGCCTAGAGAGGAATAACAACATGAATAACCCTTATTTTATGTAGTAATTTACAGTTGTCAAAGTACTTTCACCTATGCAGATATTCAAGTGGATTTATAATCTCATAGATTTAGAAATTCTCTGCAGTGATGAGGATAAATATGCCTATTTATTTTGTGTGTGTATATGCGTATATCTATATATTTGTTTGCATGTTGTCTCTCCCATTATATTGTAAGCTTCTTGAGAACAGGGATGTCTTTTGTCTCTTTTTGTATTCCTAACACTTAGTGTAGTGTCTGGTATATAGTAGGCATTTAATGAATGTTTATTGATTGATTATATGACTCTCATCCATGTACTCCCCAAAGATCACAACAGTGTTAAAGTACTTCCTTATTTTCCTCTCACATTTTGATCATGGACTCTGACTATGCCATATGACTAGCCTATCCTTTCTTTCTGTTATACAATTCCTTGATGTCATTCCTTACTCCTATTTGTTAGAGTTTCTTGTTGCAGCCTGCTCACACCTACCATGCTTATTTGCTTTGTCCTCTGAGTGATGCTTGTCTTTAGTTTTTTAAAGGAAGTGGTGTTCCAGGTCTCACTGCCATAAAGCATCACCAGTAAAATGTTTATATTGAAAATATGGGCCCTTTGCTTTTATGGAAAGCTTAAGTGTTGATAAAAGTGCTTTGCAGTTTTCCCAAAAGCAGTTCAGACCACTTTCTTCAACTTTGGGTCTAATTCACGGTATTTGTTATCTGTCCCTGATGAACAAAATCTTGGACATGCTCAGGTGTATATTGAAATCTGTAGCAATAGATAGTCTTCATTCATTGTGTAGATAGAAAGGCCAAATTCTTTTGAGTAATTACAGATATTTCCAAGTGGCTCTGTTTTGTTTCAGGAATTGATATAGTGCCATCCACAAACAGGAGCAAAAAGACGTCATCATTAGCAGGGAATCCTTCCTTGACTTGGATTCTGCATTTTGTCTCCTCTGTCACAGAGATGGTACTTTTGTCCTGCACAAATCTCTCTGTTTTACATCACCTGATAGCTTATTATAAGAAGGTCATTGAACATAATTACTGTCTAGTTACAACTCTGGAGAATCCTGAATGATAATGATATTTGGATGGGAGATATCTTGTTGTAAAAGAGTTTATAAGATAGCATTTTGTTCTACTAAGTTGAATTTTTTTTTTTGAAATCAATAATCAAGCTTGAGATCTGATATTCTCTGCATCTTTTAGTCAGTTGTAAAAGATATGGACTCTTGCAGAATATTATTTGCAAAGGCCTGCTTATTCCTTGCTAATAATGTCATCAAGGAGGCTCTCAATTCATGTATAGATGACACCTCATAAAGATTTTTTAATAGATAGGAAAGTCGACATACATCAGTTGTTGGCATTTTCTTAATCACTTTTTTTTTAAATATCAGTAAGAACTGAGCTTCCCTCATAAGTCTCCCCCTCTCCGCACCCCGGCCTCATGCTTTTGGTATCTTCCACCTCTCTTAGATATCTTATATATTGATCTCTCAATGTGATAACAATTATATCACCTCTAACAGATATCCTCAAAATATATATGATCTAATATTCTGCTTTTTTTTTTTGTTCTTTTATTCATTTGCTTCCTCTCTAAATGTCTTAGGGACTGCTGTGTTAGGATCCACATGTGGTAGTTTCACTATCCTTGATGTAGAAAACAGGGTTTTTTTTGTTTTGATTTTTGCAAATCATTTCTTTTTTTTTTTTTTTGGTTTTGTAATCCTCTTTTTGTTTTCATCCTTGAATACCATTCCCATGAGTTTGCTTGGTTTGTGTCTTGCCAAGCTTTCTCTAGACTAGCTTTGCCCTCCACTGTTTCTCTCAACTTTGTGACATGATGTTGCTCATAATTGGCTATCATCCTTCTTCATATGGTTTTACGGATAAGTTTATATTTTAACCCAGTATTGCATTTGGAAGCCACTTCTCTCTGGTAAGTGAGTCAAATGGTTATTGACTGGGGTCTTTTATGGGTTAAATATTCTTAATTGTATACCATATTTTATTCTTTTGGTTCATCTTTTTTCTTGTTTATTAGAAATTCTGATCTTAGGGCTGGCTGTGCACAGGCTCAGGAATAATTCCCACACCCATTGTGAATCTTTTCCTCCCCGTTCAAATGCAGTCATTTTCATTCTCTGTGATGTTATTTGGTGCTTTACATGTCACGTAATATGTGAAATATATATTACATACACACACACAGATAGATAGATAGATAGATAGATAGATAGATAGATAGATAGATAGATAGATAGATAGATAGATATAAAAAATCTACAAGTCTTTCACATCTTATTTTTTCCTCTGGAACTATATTTTTACATGTAGTTCTTCACAACCTCACTTTTTTGGAGGTGAAAAGTGACCAAATATTAGAGTATTTTGATTTAATTTGGCAAATCTTATAAGGTTCTTCATAGAATTTATCTACCATTTTGTTCTTGGCAACTAATGATGTGTAAACTGAAATTTCTGTCTTTTTGCAAATGATTATCATTAATACTATATGATGACCAAATGTCCCATGAAATAATGTTTCTTGAAGCTTAGGGGAATATGATAAAACCAACTTTGCAAATTCCTTTCTTTGCCTTTCTAAGGATACCTTTGAGACACTCTTCTATTTAACTTATCTAACTTCTATTTAACTTCTTTCTTTTGATTTCATTTATGTTAAGAATGTTAAGATTGATATGATTCAGATACTCTAGCAATATGTTCACTTGTTGCCCTTTGGACAAGGGTCTCAGGTTTACCAATAGTAAATGGATATCTGTTGATGTTCTACAAATCTCCTGATTCTTAGCACCCTCTGTCCCTGTTCCTGCCACTCTGCCATCATTGTGGTTGAAGCAGAAGAGGGCTGCACAGGACTGAGAGTCATTTAAAATTTTTCTTTCTTTTTTTTTTTTTTTTGTAGATTGCCATGGCCCAAAAGTTTACCACCAGGTGACCAGCCTGTTGATAATTGGCTGTTCATTATTGGCTTGCCTTGGAGAAAAGACTCTGTTCCTTTGAACAAAGGCTTCTTTTGAAACCTTTGCAGTATGTTAGGACCTACCAGAGTATGAGCTCTACTGACAAGAATCCAATCCAATTCAACCCAGTAAACATTTATGAAGTGCCTACTATGTGCCAACCACTGTGCTAAGTGCTGGGGATGCAATTAATAAAAAAGAAAAACAGTCCCTGCCTGTAAGGAGCTTACAGTCTATTGTTGGTGGGACAAAATACACAAAAGGAGGCAGGAAAAGAGAAGGGGAGGCCAGGGGGTACCTGATACAGGAGCATCTTGTTCCCTGGAGTTGAAACCAAGGTGAGCGGGAGATGCAGAGTAGAGTGAGCCAAAAGTCCAATGTCTTTCCTCTAAAGAAAGGCATTGGAAAGAGTTTGATGTTTTATACTCTAGCCCTCCAATCAGAGGGAAGAGGAGACCAATGGACGGAGTGTCAGCCAAGAGTTGAATTAGCTGCATGGTGATGAGCTTAATCTGGGAGGGGCATCTTGTTCCCTGGAGTTGAAACCAGGCTTGCCAGTAGATGTAGAGTAAGTGAGAGAGGCTCACCTCCACAACAGGATGAGGCATCAGAGTAGGACTTCGTATAGGTAAGACAGGTCTTTACAGGGAGGAAATTTAGGTGTGGTGAGATTAAGTGACTTGCTCAAGGTCTTACAGCTTTAAGTAGGGACTTGAATCCAGTGTTCTTACCATTATGCTTTTTTTTTTTTAAAAGCTTCTGGATGTTTCTGGGTTGCCACTGAATGACCATTCTGTTTGAGATGCAGTCAAAGGAACCAGATGATTTTAAGGAGAGAGTGGTGGTTGCTAGTCTATATTCATAGTCCTTACTAAAGGGAAATTAACAGGATTACATATATTACTTCAAAGCAGGTTAGTCAGTCAGCAAGTATTCATTAAGTGTCTACTATGTCCGCACTAGGTTTGGGGGATATAAGTATAGCAAATGACATAATTCCTAATGGCAAAGATCATATTCTAGAATTGCATTCTCAAAGGAGAGAAAACAAAGACATGTATATTTATGCAGGGTATCCCAAAAGCCTTTTTTTTTTAAAGTCTCCAAAGCTATTCTAACTTAAAACTGCACTAAGACTTTTGGGACACTCTGTATATGGACTACATATAAAAATAATGTAAATAAATGCAAAGTAGTTGAATACAGTGTAGTTTCAGAGGAAAACCTCTTGCTATTGAGAGGATCAGGGAAGGCTTTGTTTAGGCAATGGTGTTTGAGTTGTGTCTTGAAGGGAAAGAGGTGAAGGAAGCATGGGAAGCAACCAGTACAAAGGCACAGAGACAGGAGATGTAGAGGCTGGTTTGACCGGATCCCAGAATCCTAGAGAGTGATTAAAACAATGAGTAAGGACAAAGATATTTACTTAGTGGTGACAACAAGTAGAGTAGAAAATGACTTTGAAAGAATCATCTACTTTTTAACCTTCAAAATCTAATTTGTTCCATTAGGAATTTAAAATTAAAAGAACCAACTTTTCACACAGGTTGCCAAATTTTAGCTTAGAGAGTATTGAACATACTGCAATAGATTGTGAGGAGGAGAGGTAAGTTGAAATGGAATATGGAGATAGTGTGCTAAGAGTTATTACTGGCAGTTTGACTAAATTCATATATGAGATATATTACATGTTCAAACAAGTCCTAAACAAATATCAGCAATAGTAACATGATGGAGTTCCATATTATGATATATATATCTTGGAGCTCTTTATTAATACTATAACTCTAATGATCTTAAATGCATGGCTTATTGCTGTGAACTTTGTGGCCATTTGGAGAATTAACTGAATTAGTATAAAATATATTCGATTCTGGGAATGTTTTGGAAAATGACATTAAATCAGTGGGAAAAGAAAGCAGAGTGTGGTTTTGCTCTCCTTTTCACTCATTGGTGCCCATTAAAATGTATATTTTATCTGCATCAGTTATCTAATGTAGTGTCAGTTGGTATGTATTGTACACCTTTGTTGTTGTTGTTCAGTCATTTTTTAGTCGTGTCTGACTCTTTGTGATCTCATTTTGGGGTTTTCTTGGCAAAGATATCAGAGTGGTTTACCATTTTCCTCTCCACCTCATTTTACAAATGAGGAACTGAAGCAAACAGGGTTGAGTGACTTGTCTAGGGTCACATAGTAAGTGTCTAAAGCTGGATTTGAACTCATGAAACTCATGAAAGTGAGTTTTTCTGATTCGAGCCCAGTGCTCTATCCGCTGGGCCACGTAGCTGTTTTTGATTAATACATTTATTGAATTCTTTGTGGTTAAAACTCTTTAACTTAAAGGCTTACATGGAGTTTCATATTTGTTAATTAGGTAAATCCCTTATAGACTGTGCCTGAGTTCATGCCTAAACCTGAAACTTTCTATAGAGTGTTATGGGGCATTGTGTTATGGGGCAAGTGTTGGAACTAGATGTAGGACCAAAGTCTGAAGATCCTGAATTCTAATCTTAATTCTGTCATTCATTTATCAGGTGTCTTGAGGACGTTACTTAACATCTGGATCCTCAGTTTACTTATCTGCAAAATGATGATAATAACACTTCTCTTGGCTATGTTAAGAGTATTGTTTTGAAGACTGAATGATCTAATATAAAGAGACCAAATGAGGCAATATATAAATTGTTTTGCAAATCTTAAATCAATCAGTTGACAAATATTTAATAAGTGTCTACCCACAAGGAGTTTACATGTAACAGAAACAATAAGTGCATATGTAGGTATATATGTAATAAATGTAAATACAAATACATTCAAACTAGTTAAATATTAATTACATGGTTTGAGAGGGAAGGCATTAGCAGCTGAGAGAATCAGGAAAGGCTTCAGGTAGTTTGGGGCTTTATCTGAAGGGAAGGAAAAAACCTATGAAATGGGAAGTGAGGAGAAAGTGGATCACAGGCAAAGGAGAGCCAGCACAAAGTCATGGAGAATGGGGTATGGTATTTCACATGTGAAGAACAGAGAAGGCCAGATTGAATTACAGAGGGTAGTAGGAAGGGCTTAAAGTATGATGTATCTATTAGTAATGCTATTCATGTGATAAATGTGAAATCACATTAAGAACTATAAAATATACAAATATATTAACAATAGTAATAATTTTCTTTCAGAAGAGGCTCCTGAATTTTTATTATTAATAAAGGAGGCTCCCTTAATAAAGGGAGGCTGTTTTAGTTAAAAGTGAAAATGATAAGTAACATGTAAACAATAATGCTACCTAATATGTGTGCAGTATTTTGCATTGTGAAAGCATATTATACATATGTTTTGATTCTCACAACTCTGAAATAGATGAGGGACACTAAGATAACAAGAGGCAATAGAACATTGACTCATATAGTGAGTGTACATACCCATTTCTTGCCTGCTGCTGCACATACCCACTCCATATTTCTTTAGTACATTTCTTACTGTTGTTAAACTTTCATTACTATTTTCTGCAAAGCCGAGATAGTTGTAAGAACCCACATTAATGACATCCTGAATAATTCTTCCAGTAAACCTAAAGTGAATAAATGACAAAGGAGCAAAAAAAGTAATCATTTATTATGTTTCATTTCAGAACCAGATAAGTATACTAAACACTCAAATTCTGGTCCATTTCCAACTTTGAATTATTGCAATTATGTCTTAACAATATTTTTGAAAGGAGTAGTTGTTCTTTTTCTTTCCCTATCACTAAATTCGCTTTTTGCCATAATATGGTTAAATTCCAGTGGTGGATAAAGTAATTCCATAATTAAAATTTAGCGAAGGGCTCAAGAATTTTTCAAGCACAAAAAGTACCCTCTGTACAAAAAAGAATGAATATCTAGCTCGTACTTTTTCCTGAACACACCTGAATGTGCCTGTATAGCTTACAGAATAATCTTTAAAGAGACTGAATTATGGCCATTACTGGAACCTTAGGTGAAAATTAGAGTTCAGGAGGAGAGTCAACATCTTTTTGTAATTTGCTCTTAAAACTATTTCCCATAAAACCCAAATGTGTGGATTTGTTTCTTAGAACCAGTACATATAGGCATAGGCATAAATTCAGTTGCAGTATAAATCAAAGTGGTATAGAAAATTTCATCATGGTAAACCATCACATAGACCTCACATGGGAAAGAGAGAAAGCTAACTGACTTGAAGACAGAGCTTCCTTTGTTTAATATTGTTTGTATATAGCAGCAAGAAGGATTTTCTCTCAACCAAACACCTTTCCCATGCTTCCAGACTGACTCACTTAAATGTCCAGTTGTAATCATCTGACACTCGTTCCATCACATCAAATGTAGGCCCTGGAACACTGCAGATTGGCCGATTCCAGTTATCTCGGATTCTCATGTAAATGTTCCTTTTATAAAAATTCTCAAAGTCTTGATACAGGGGCACAAAGTCCTAGTGTAAGAGAAATATTAAGCCTTGATATATTTTTCTCTCTTTTCTCTTTTGTTTTAAATTAAGGACATATTGGAGGCTATGTTAATCAACATATTTGTGTTGTTTCTACTATATAAAAACAATGGAAGATTCAAAGTAAGGTAAAAATAAGTAAGAAAAAAAAAGCTATGTTTTAGAGGGGAGTTTTACTCAGGTGCAGGTTGCACAAGATGGCCTCTGAGGTGCCTTTTAACTCTTGAGAGTCTATGAAAGGAGGACTTTAACCTTAAAGCGCTTATAAGTAAGATGAAGAAATAAGACATGAAAAGAAAACTAATAATACAAGACACTATAGGGGTGTATGCCAAATGAAGAGTACATGTAGAAGAGATTGTTTCTAGTTATGATGATCAGGGAAGTTCTATTTTGTTGTTGTTGTTGTTGATCAGTTTATCATTAAGTTAAATTATAACAGCTAGTGTACATTTATTCTGTGTTAGAGTTCAAGGAACACATGTCAGTAATTATGTGACCTCTGGAGCCTATATAATCCATATTGGTTTTCTATAATGAAAGGCACCAGCTTGACTGTTCTCTTCAAAATCTCTTAAAGAATAATACCTAAAATAGAAGTGTGTGTGTGTGTGTATGTGTATGTGTATGTGTGTGTGTATATCTATCTATCTGTCTATCTGTCTATCTATCTGTCTTATTCCTAGGTTAAGTCACACCATACTTATACATAATAGCATATCCTAAAGATAAAAATAAATGCTGCAACAATATAAAAATTATAGATAATTATCTAAAGGTACTCACATCTGTGGTTTGGTCTGAGAAGACACACTGACAATTCTACCTGCCCAGGACTGTTTTTCTCAGACTGTGACTGAGAAATGAAGGGAGATTGATCAGAAAAATCTTCATGTAGAAGAAGAATTTTGATTTGGAACTAGCAAAGATGATAGAATGAAAAAGCAGTATAGCCCAACTGTGTCCTCACAAGTCCTTGATCAAAGACAGAAAAAAAGCACCAGATTGAGTGGTGACTGGTAAATCTGAGGAGAGACCATAGGGGGTCCTTTTCCTAGCTCAGATTATCACAGGGAGAGAGCCAGAGGCTTTTGGGCATGGGGAGGAGTTCCAAACAGGAAGGCCTTAATAGGAATAGAGCTGTGGGGTCTGTAGCTATGTCCTGGGGTAGGCTATACAAAGGAGAGCTGAGACTTGTATAGCTCTGATCCTGGCCAGTGGACTCAGAACCTTCCATTACTGTCCTGGTTGGGGTCTGTTGAAGTGTGGACCAAGAACACACTCCTGTTGATCTGCAGTGGGGTCTTGGAGCCTGGGCAGCAACCATAGCTGGGGTCTAAAACTGAGTAACTAGGTAAGGGAGCTTGGACCTTACTTCCCTAAAACATAGTCCTTTTGTTCCTCCCTAATTCCTGGTATCACTCCCCATAGAAGCTATTCCATTCTTCTCCCCATCTCAGCTGAGGACATTACCTCTTACTTTACTGAAAAAATTGAGGTCATTCAATATAAACACTTTTCTTGACATAATCTACTCCTCCTTTCCTGCGGTCTGTAACAAAGAGTTGGCCCTTCTTGTCAAGGCCAAGCCCTCTACATGTGAACTTGATGCCATCTTGTCCTGTCTTTTTCAGCAGATTGCATCTTCAGTCATTCTACCTCTCTTGAATCTTCAACTTGTCTTTGTCAGCTAGTTCCTAGCCTTCTGCCTTTTTTTAATATTCATTTCTTCTCCTTAAAAAACTTTCATTAGACTCTATCATTCCCTCAAGCTATCATCATATCTCTCCTCCCTTTCTCAGCCAGACTCTTTGAAAAAGTTGCCTGTATTTGATTCCACCACTTCCTGTAATCTCACACTTAAACCCTTTTCATTCTCACTTCCAGTTTCATCACTCAACAAAAATGACTATTTCCAGAGTTATCAGTGATTTCTTAATTGTGAAATCTGATGTTCTTTTTCACTCTTCATCCTTTTTGACGTTTCTGTTACTTTTAACCTAATTGACCATGGTTACTCTCTCCTCTCTGGATTTTCATGATGCTACTTATTCCCTTGATTTTCCTTTTTATTCTCCCATTTATCCGATTTCTCCTCTATCTCCTTTGCTGGATTATCATCCACATAATTTTCTAGATTATTCTAGTCACCTCATAATTGGTCTTCATTCCTCCATACTCTCACCATCCAGTTCACCCTATACACAGCTGCCAAAGTAAATTTTCTTAAGCACAGATCTGACCATGTGACTCCTTTATTCAGCCAACACTAGTGGCTTCTTCTTACTTCTAGGATAAAATTTAAAACCCTATTCTACCTGGGCCCAGTTTATATTTCCGGCCTCATTAGACATTATTCTTCCCCCTTGCATTCAGCCAAATTAGCCTCGTTTTGTATCCTCAAACAGAACACTCAGTTTCCACTTTGTGCCTTTGCACTGGCCATTCCTAAGTGCCTAAAATAAACCCTCTTCTTAGCTCTTTCTCATAGTCTCTCCTCCTTTAAGATGTAACTCAAGTACCATTCATGAAACCTTTCGTGAGCTTTCACACTGCTAATCCCATCATTTCAAATTGTATTATATTAAACGACTTTGTCTTTATTTACATTTGTTAACTGCATATTTATCCTGAATACCTTTAATATGTTCTTGTTCTCCTTCCCACATATTTATATCCGCAGTACCTTGCATAAAGCAGTTATTTAATAAATATTTGTAGATTGAACCTGTAGTTCTATAGCTCTGAACCTATAGAGCCTCTGGAAGTTGTTAGGGATTAGGGCCAGCAACTGCCTGGTAGAACATTAACTAGAGCCAGGCCTACAGCAGAGTCACTCAGATCCTGAATCTATGTCTAGAGCCTGCAGAGGTCAGACCTGGAAGGTAGTGATCAGACCATGCCTTAAATCAGACTTAAATCATGGTGCTGAAAGTGGCTATTCAGCTTGCTAGCCTGAGATGCCCCTGAGATCCTTGATGAACAAAGAACCCAGTGCCTGGAGATCTTTGAGAACAATGATAATATGGATAATAAAGATAATACAGATAAGGACCAAAAATAAGGCCTCAACATCCTTCCAAAAGGGCTCAGAGACTGGCCTTAACATGAAGTGCCAATGAATAAGCAAGAAAAAGACACTGATATTAAATAAATATTATAGAACCAGAGATGTCCAAGACAAGCCCAGAAGAAAATCATCCCCTAACATCTACAAACAAATCCTCAGATAAAAACATAATTTGGACACAAGGTCAACTAGCATTTTAAAATAAATGAAGCAAGAGTTAGAAAATTATGTTACAACATAAAATCTTTAGATGAAAGAATATGAAAAGAAGTTAGAGGTCTAGATTAAATATTCAAAAGGAGAATTAATAGCTTAATACAAGATGAGCAAAACCCACTGGCCTTGGAGTCAGGAGGACCTGAGTTCAAATCCAGCCTCAGGTATATAACACTCAATAGCTGTGTGACTCTGGACAAGTCACTTAACCCCAATTGCCTCACCCCCCCAAAAAAAAATTGTTTCTCAGCTTTGGGGCAGCTAGGTGGTACAGTGAATAGAGCTCTGGCCTTGGAGTCAGGAGGACTTGAGTTCAAATCCAGGCTCAGACACTTAACACTTACTAGCTGTGTGACCCTGGGCAAGATGAGCAAAACTTATGAAAATAGTACTATATGAAAATTAGAATGTTTCAGACACAAGTAAATTGCTGCATGAGGAAAAAAAGAAAAATATTAAAATTAAAAGACTGAAAAACAACACATCCTCAAAACAACTGATCTAGTAAACAGGGTGTACCTTGAAAACCTTAACAAAATCAAGTGCCCTAATAGCATATTTCAAGTAATAATGAAGGATAATAGAAAAAGTGGTGGAGTAGAAGGAAGCCATATATCCTAGCTCTCTGAAACAGATACTTAAGATTAGGAATGGTATTCTCAAGGAATAGTGATCAAGAAATCCATGGAGAAACAGTGTATTGTTTTTTAGCTTCATGATTGTGGAATCAGTCCAGGGGTGTATAACCGCAATAGAGGCTAATAGACCTGGGCCTTACAGCTTTGTTGCTCTGAATCTAGAGTAGGACTGTGGAGTAAACCCATACACAAGTAGCCAGGGCCAGGACTGCTCTTAATATATATGTTCTGTACTACCTAAAATACCACCTTTGCCTATGGATTTTTAATGTTTTCCTAGCTGGACAACAAATCACTTATCTCTATTTAATTTTCTTGTTGCTAGGAACTTGAAAGGGGCTATTACTTTCTGATCGCACACAGTTTTTAAAGTCATGGCTACAGTTTTCAATTACTTTATGAACGTATTCATAGTCTAATAAAATAAACCTTTTAAGACAAATAAAGAATTCAACACTCCTTTTCTCAGTTGCCTATATTCAAAGTTTTGTGAGAGACTTTTTGATTTAAATTTAGTCCTAGTCTTTTAACCATTATTCTTTTCTGGAGCATTTAAACTCTGATAGAGGGGCATCTAGGTGGCACAGTGGATAGAGCACCGGCCCTGGATTCAGGAGGACCTGAGTTCAAATCCGGCCTCAGACACTTAACATTTGCTAGCTGTGTGACCCTGGGCAAGTCACTTAACCTCATTGCCTATCCAAAAAAAGAAAAGGAAAAAAAAATAACTCTGATAGAAACACAGTTGACAAAGATCAAGGTATTTTTATTGGGAAAAAAATCAGTTGCAGAAATGTAGAGTAAAAACTGAAAATTAGCCCAAACTGAGCCTGAGGTCAAGTTGGCTGAGAAAAGATATTTAGAAAACTTTTTGTTTTTAATTTTAAGAAATCATTTCATTTATTTGGCATAGAGTAGAAAGAGATATGGTTTACTATGCAAGACTGTTAGCTGAAGCTTTTGTATTCCCTACTAATACTATGATCAGAAAGAAGTGGAAAGCCTCAAGGCAGACTCCCCACCCCCCAGCAAACAAGGGAAGACATGGGCAAGAATGTCAG